AAACGAAATGAGAAAATATTCGCGAAACAAGAGATTAAACGATTTCGAGCGTTTCGTACGAGAATATTCGACAGAGATATACACGGCTGACTACATATCAAACAGCTCGGTTACCATTCGCGCGATACCTGTATACCAGGTCGAAGTTGCCGCCGGGTTAACAGGGGTAAACGTACATATGTATCGACTTCTTCCCGGTTGATATTCATGTATTCATAGCCGGCAACATTACCGGATTTGTATTAGCGCCACAGGTGGCGGTGTTGATCCAACATGGACCTGGATCCGTAAAACTTAGAACAACCGGCCAATCCAATCGACAGGCGAAATTGAACGAGAGAGAGAGAGCGAGAGAGAGAAGGGTCGTACGCGAAAAGAATCGAACTCGACGATAAACTACGTATTTATTGCGACGCAGCCAGCCCTACACGACACCCAGGGGAATAATTTAATAAATTGTTTCCCCAGCCCGACGTATCGCGATCCATCAAATTCCACCGGAATTCTGTAATTCTATGACCGAATCGATACCAGAATGAAGGGCATCTTCCATGGGACTGAATTGCCTCGATCGTTCAATTCAGTACTTCAGATGCTTCTTATTCCGTGTCAAAATCCATTTTGATTAAAGTGTATTCCTCTGAGCGAAGTACGGTTTTCTTTCATTTTGTAATCCTTGCAATTAGCCATGCAGAAGATCTTCGGATTTCATTTATCGTCAGTTGTCTCTCTCTTTCTCTGCGTGTCTGGAAGCAAATATTTTTTGAATCAGATTTTTTTTTTGAGTTTAACTTTTTTTTTAAGTTCTTTTAGTATACATATAGCGCAATTATTATTCTTTTACAATCAAATCAATATAAATCAATTTTCCTCTTAATTTCTCTCTTAATTTTAATATAATTTGTTCGTTTAACGTTAAACGAACAAATTATATTTCATCTGTGACGACTGCAAAAAGTATTTGCACACTATCGTGTCAATAAAATAAAAAAAATAATAATAAAAATTTAATATCACAATGAAAGATAAATTTTAGAGTGAATCCAGTGGAAGTAATATGTTGGAACGTAACGTTTCAAACGATGTTGAACATTCGATCCGGATCTTAAACTCGATCATAGTCATGGCTTAGTTTCTGCGGAACTATGAATCGTCATTCTGATGTTGTGGCAAGTATTCTGGCGAAGTTCGTGGTTCTCGTGGTTTCAACGTAAATTTGGGGACGCTTTTAGACGTTCGTTTTAATATGTTCTAATCCAAAAGTTTCGTCGATATTAGTGATTTTTATTGTTTGAAATATAATTCGGATGTAATTCGAGTGAAATAATTCAGAAAAGACTATCTATCACGAATTGTTGTTAAAGATATTATTATCGGAGGAAGAATGAAAATCTTGATAATAACTGACTTGAATAATACCAACGACATAAATTCCAGAATTAAAAGTTAGTTGGAACTATTTCCCGTATTCTGGGAAAATGCACAATTAATTAAAATAACAGGAAAGCAAGAAATACCCACGAAATCCAAGCATAATTCGAGCATGACTTGAAATTTAGAATATATCCTGTATAAAAAGCAAGAGCATGAACGCATTATTCGAAAGACTTTCACGAAAGAAAATTAGCGAAAAGATATTTCATAAGAGGAAACACGAATTTATTTCCAATTCATTGTCATTCGTCGAGTATTATTCGCTAGAAACTGAAGATAGAAACTTATAAAATTTTTCCATTTTGTAATTTAACAATTTCTATACACCACGACATCCACTGGATGAATATCAAAGGATATATACATATATGTATATAGCAATGTATAATCGCGAATCGTGTGATCGATCGTTTCTTTAGAAACGTTCGCGAGTCAGTCGCGATTTCACAGCCGCCGGATGATATCTAATGGAGTATAAATTTATTTAGCCTTCCGCTGGCAAGCCTTTTATCTCATTAAAAAGGGATTTGCGCCGACCAAATATCCTAGAAATCCCGAGAATTTGGTGGAATTTAATTCCGAGACGCGGAAGAGCGCCGGAGCTTTCGCCCACCGTTCGTATTATCCGCGGCAACTCCTTGTATTTATCTTCTCCATCCGACCATTCTCATACACGCACATATATCCCCGTCGTCGTTGAGAGATCGACCGCTCTATGGGACAATTCTCGCGTACTCTGAAACACCTTCCGACATTCATTCTATCTCTCCAAGAGATGCGAACGCGAGCGTACAATTTGAGAACGTGTCTATAAGTTTTTTTCTCTTCGTTTCTCGACGCCTTCGATTCAACTTTCTAATCGGTTTTACATTCTCGTATTATGACGTTCGTATTCCAAGATTTGATAATATTTTCGTACGTTTCGGAGCAGCGAGTCGGAAAGAAACGTGTTAAATTATCTTTAATCTGACGCATTTGATTGGGTTATTAACGAGTAGAAAAGGAATGTCAGGCAGTATTTTAATTGCAAGTAGTAAAAGACTGCATGTGTCAGACATTCTCGGTGAAAAGAAACGCAAAGATACTCGCATCGATGAACAATTCGCACTCGTGAAAATTTCACTGAAATGAAAGAGAAACATTATCTGAACATTTACAAACAAATAATTTCATTCTCGCAAGAATTGGATTATTATACATTCGAGATATCAATTTTTCATCGTTCTCCAGTAACGGACGTACTCAATCGCGAGTTCTTTAGATTGTTTTAAATCGGCGTTCAAACACTCGCACGGGTTCGTTGAATCTGAAAACAGTTTTGTGAACCGGAAATCGAGAGTTTGCCGCCGGTCGATAGTAACGCGGCACGTTCTAAAAAGTTTATTCAGTGGCAAAACGGTAATTTACTCTCACAACAAGGCATCTGTAAACAGTGGCTAGTGGCAATCCTGCCATTCGAGTTGAAATGAAATTTCTGCCCGTCCATTGATCCTAATGGAACCTAGTAACTTTTACAAACAGAAAACGATTTCTTATTATCACGTTCTTCTTCTTCTTCTTCTTATTATTATTATTATTTTCGATTCCTTTCGTTTGAATGTAAATCAAGTCGAAGCTTTCTTTTCATTTCTACAATAAAATACTGTTTCCCGGCAATTCTTTCATTTCCACGTTTCACAAGAAAATAACCGTGTCCAAAGAACTATTTTTTCATTTGAGCGAGGAAGAGAGAGAGAGAGAATTTAGTCTAAATAAGGGTTAAACATTGTAACCACTCTAAGTATTCACGAACAAAGGAGAATTCGCAAAAAGCATTCATGGCGCAGTTTCATCTTACCAACGAGTCTACCAAGTTTTCGCTTCTTTTCTTTTATTTTTAATTTAAAAGCGTGCCATCCTCTGTTTAAAGGAATTTTTAATTCTTTTGCAGCCAACGTGTGCAGGTCAGCCGTGCAGCCCTTTCAAGTTTACGACAAGGATAAGAATTTTTAATACTTCTCTTTTTAAATACTTCGTACTCCCGGCGAATTACGAACTTCGTTAGAACCAAACTTATTATCATTTCGTTAACCTATTAACCGAGGATAAAAAGGTAACTAGTCACTGGGAAATGCTTCTCCAGAATTGACGACGAGTTACCTCGTCGTAGAATTTCAAAGATTCTCCAATTTTCCAATCGAGAATTTATAGAAATAGAGTCATAGAAATAGAAATGTTAAAGATTTTCTTATCGAACTCGTCATCGCTTAGAAAATTCACATTTCGTTCAATTTAATCGAATGTTATTGCTTCCCGAAATTTTTTCTTCAATTCGTGTCGACCAGTAATCGTCAATTTTAGTTGTCAAATGGTCAACTTTCTGGACAAACTGAAAGAAATTAACTAGAACCCTCTGCTTTCTCAACTGCACACTCTTCCAAGACGTTCTTTCTCTCATCGCGCGTTTGTGTTTGTTATTCGGCAAAGAGGATAACGTTTCGCGTGCTGGCTATCCCGTCGGCCATTGAAATTCAGACTTACCCCTGTGGTACGAATTGCTTTCTCCTGTGTTATTCCCTATGAAATTCGAATCACCGTTCGCATTGTCCGGCCGAAATCCTTTCAGAATACTATCAGCATTGTTCGCGCGATCACCGTCCAAACGTTCGATTATCCGGCCGGTGCATTATAATCGAACGCTCTATTATTCGAGCAACATGTTCCGGCGCACATGAGGCCGCTTTGTTGCATTCTCATTTTCCACGTGTTCGGCACGTTCTTCCCCTGTCCGTGTTCCTCTCTCCTCGCCCGGTCTCGATTCTTATCGCCCAGGGATTCGGAGTTAATTCCAGAGAAGAACAGTTTAATGCAACACGCGGAAAATACAAACGCAGGCGGGGGTGTTGGCGAACGCGACGAATGAAATTGTCACGTTTAGGAGACGGTGTCTGCGACGTCGGAGGGAAATACAGCTTTCGCGAATTAATGTCCCGAATGTCGTCTCTTTTGATATTCTCGTGGAATAATATTCCTTGCTTGTTGCTCTGAGGATTTTTTCACGATTAACATACCAGTGACGTAATTCATTTCATACGAAACGAAATTTTGCTTCACCTTACACAGAAATTGATTTTAGAAATTGGACTCTTGTTGAAAATTGATTTTAGAAATCTGAATTCTTAAGAGTTATTAAACAAGACGAGCAAGTTAAAAATTTTTCCCGAACTTCGTTCTTTCGAGTGTCGAAGTAGTTGAGGGGAAACACAGTTGCAAGTAGAATAGAACGTGCATGGTCAGACACAGGTCGTATAATTCTCACTCGATACTTTACATCCATCAAAAATTATTCTCAAAATCCTTCGGAAAAGAAAAGAATTTATTATCACTGGAAATTGTCATAAAAAAAGTCGACCGAGATATGAATCTCCAATCGTTAAAACTACGAATCCATCAGAATTGGGAACTTGGGGGAAAGAAAGAAGGAAGATCCAAAACAGAAAAGAAAGAAAAAGGAAAGAGATAGAAAAACAAAATCAATTTCTAGTCGTTGGAAGATTTCGTGCAGAAGCAGATCTGTTTGGTTGCAGATTACGACAGAGATTACGGTCCACCATCGATGAGGCCGCCAGGCGAGCTTCCGGTCGACGCCCTGAGTCCGGGCGTTTCCCATCGGGCGCAGCTCGTTCTTCATCTTTTGGTGAGTCTGCTGTCACTGCTACTTCCAGCAATCAGAAGGTGATTCTCACGTCGCGGGGACAGGGCTTCCAGTTCTAGTGTTTATTGGACGGTGACCAGACCGAAGGCGGCTGCCAGTTTCCGGTACGCCGTCTTCGGCTGGACGACGGACGAGTGCGACGAGAACAAGGCGCGCTTGAAATTATTTTCATACTAAACGTAGACGTATACAGAGAGCAACAAAAAAAAAAAAGAAAGAAAGAAAGAAAGAATGAAAGAGGATATTATATATATATAATATATATATATAAATATAAATAAATATATATAAATAAATAAATATAAATACAAATACAAAATATAATATGTTGTGTAAGTATACTTATACAGTGAGTATGAAGGTATTCTTAGGCTTTCATGAGTGATGATTTTGTGGCGCGCGACATCCTTGCATTTTCCGAGAGAAGACTTTTCATCCTCTGTCTCGTCATGTGTGAATCTCGATTGTGCGCGTTTAGAGAGAAAAAAAAAAAAAAAAAATACGACGAGGTGAGAACATTTCGTATCGACTAGATGGATTTGATTCCGACGATAGGTTAATGGGCCAATGGTTCTCAATCAATAGTAACGCGACACGTCGATGCTCCGCGAGGAATTCGAGGGTTGCGTCGTCTTATATTATATAACGCGTTACCGCTTTAAATGTTCCGCCAAAAAAAAAAAAAAAAGAAAACAAGAAAAGAAAAGAAAGAAAGATACGAGTTTTATAATCAAATCGTGTGTCGCGAATTTTCCCGTGAATGGCTGAGAATCACTGGCCACGCGAGACGCGGTTCGAGTAGTTTCGTTAGTTAGCATAGAAACGTGCGAGTTCGTCTATCCGAAGCGTTGAAGCGGAGTGCGTTTCGAGCATCTTCGTTTCTTACCTATGTAAATACCATTGATTTCGCGATTCTTCACACGAAGATTCGGCGTTCTAGATGCCCCCTCGCCCCCTCGATGTAAAATTCGATCGTTAATCCACGTTCATTTCATCGTCGCTGATATCGTTCGCGTTGCTTGAAAGAAGACTTTGTAAGAGACGAAAAAAATCGTATTTTCATTGTATCGCGCGAATATCCTTTGTCGTATGTACTATTGTCGAAGGAAGAGAACATTTGTACGATGGCGATTCAATAATTACTCGCAGTGTATTTTTTATTACATTGGCTGTAGTCTCAAATAGATGTGCATCAATATTTATCAATCCTTGTACAAGTTTTCACAAAGATGGCTCGATTTCTTGTTTGTTCATCGACGATTGAATCATTTTATTCTTGCATCGAAAAGAATATACAGCTTCTATGATTTGAAATCTATGAGAAACTTCCACAAGGACGGCGTTCTTCCACAATCTAATACGCGTTACTGATAAGTTTAAAGGTGAAAAAAAAATTTTAAAAGGCGGCGCATGCATGCTTCTTAGTAAAACAAAAAAAAGAAACTATATTTTTCTGAAGATATGAAGATAGATGCAAGTGCACAGAAATAATGTTAAAATCTCCACAAACAAATTTTGAGTCGCAGATTATTGAATCACCGTCAGAGAATTGTTGCGAATAAGTTCCAAAACCAACGATGACGAAGCACGTGAATGAATTCGGCTCCGGCATAGAGAGAGACAAACAAAGAATTATTTTCAAGCGATTTTACGTGCTTCTCATTCGGTGAAATCGATCTCATGAGCTCGTGAAACGAGCAACCCGGCTGTCGGCGACCGTTCGACTCGTCGATAGAGGTTTTCGTAACACGGCAACACGCGACGACGATTAGTTGTATATTCTAGTTCGAGCGAGAACGAGGCACAACTGTAATTTTTTTCGGTACATGTAACGATATATACGTACGCATGAAAGAATAAACGAAAAAGGAAAAAAAAAAATGCATAACTCTATACATTATATACACAGGAGCATATAATAACGTATAATATAAAGTCGTAGTTGTGTTTGAGGTAACGCGCTCTAAAGTTTCATCATTAGCTGTTTCTCATTGGCGAGGCAAACGTGCATGCACACACCGATAACGGGACGCTAGTCGTATATATATACATATACGTAAATATGACGCGTTCGTGAATGCGACTCGACGTGATTTAACCCTTTATGTCCGGGATTAAGTTGTCCGTGGCTCTCTCTCTCTCTCTCTCTCTCTCTATTCAATTTCTGGATCGTTAGAGAATCGTAGGAATACCGTAAACACGAGGGAGGAGAAACAAATAAATTTGATGAGTTTAAATGTGGTATTTACAAGTGCAGACAGGCTTAAATAAACTCAACAAGTATACGGAGCAAGGATCTATTTCACAAATGTTGATTTCAGATGTTTTCTGACGCGTGTTGAAGCGTTTATATAAAACGTCAGGATATAGAGGGTTCAAATCAAATTAGAAAAAAAGAAAAAAAAAAAGAAAAAAAGAAGAAAAAAGAAACAAGTAAGCGAAGAAACGCGACGATGACGATGTTGCGTAGCCCCGAATCATCGACGACGGTGTCTTCGTGCAGAGAGCTTGGTCAGTTTCAGTTTCAATTACGTGTCAAGAGACAGAGAATTCGCGGTCCCCCTGCAAGGCAACACTTGTCGATGACAATATTTTTAGCTTTAACGAGACTTGAAGTAGATTTAACGATCTATAGAGCGAACACTGCCAGGGAAATTAACTCGTTAACTCGTTGACTGCCGTAGCAGTTTGTCCACGGAATGGGAAATGCCTCATCTTTAGGAAATATCACGTTGTGGAAGCGTATTTTTAATTTTGCAATTGTTTCTCCAATTACTCGCGTTTCAATCGGCGTATATTCGCATATTTCGCTCGTTTCAAAATATTTATAGAATAGAAACATCGTGTGACAGTCAACGTGTTGAACGTCGTGAAATATACGCATCCCTTTGGATAGAACACACCATCCGTTTTTCTTCTTCTTCTGCATGACGTTACCTAAATGTAACTTCGCTGTTCTTGATTCGCATAGTTTTGTGTACATAACAAAGGCGTAGGAGCTTTAAACGATATTTTGTACCTTCGCGACAACGGAAGCTCGAAGAAGTCTGTTTCGAGTTTCTGTCGAAGTCCGACGTAGAGCTGGTGGCAACAGTTAGACGCGCTGCACTTGGGAAAGTGTTGAATCGCCCATTTTTGCTCAGAGGAATTGGTAAATGTTTCTTTTGTTCTCTCGTTCCGGCGAAACGAACTTTCACGTCTCCCCGATGAAGAATTCTGCTCCGTGATGTTAATTTTTCACACTTTGGCTTTTAGCAGACTCGAGGAGATATTTAACGGATTCTTGTAAATAATCTTTCAATCATCGTTACGTTCGTTGCACGGTAAGAGCATCTTTCTATTTAAATATCGATAAAATTAAAGGGAGCCACGCAAAAGCTACTTTAAGAATTCATCATCGAGACCAAACTGTTTTGTTCGATTCAAATTTTTCTAAAATTTTACTACGAATTTACAAAATTTTTCAAACGAGTTTACAGCAATATCTCGCGATGACATTTTTCATCGCGCAAAAAGAGAAAAAAAGAGGAACAGAGAGAGATGATTCGAAACTTTCGAAACGCAAGTGCACGTGCTCGACAGAGCTGTGTGGCATCGAATCTCGAATTCGTGCGGTCTTTCTAGACCCGTGAGTTACAAGAAAGAAAGAAAGAAACGTAACGCGTCTTTGCCGATTGATTGTTCTGTAAATATTGTAGATACGTTATGCTGTGATCAATGTGAATCGTCGTCTATTGTCGCGGTGATGATTCGAGGCTGCGAATTGTTGATGCAAAAGAGTAGAGAAAAAAAGTGCAAAGAGACGAGAAGAGTGTTGTGAATAGCGTATTACAGCGACCGTACGAGACGTTATGGCGATGATCGTATAAAAAAAAAATGTCGTTCAGTAGAAAAGAGAGAGAAAAAAAAAAGATGATACGAACGGAGGCTACAGCGATCATAAATATGTCGTATTGAATTATTATAATGACGTTATTAATGTATCGTGCCCGATGGTTTCACTATGCCGAGAACGATTTTTATGAGTTATAATCCGGGGTATATCGTGAATGACCGACCCGCGTAACGAGCATCAGAGGTAGATAGTGAAACCGTCGGTCGGAATATCTTAATAAATCGAATACACGACTGCTATTATAAATCACTGTGTCAGTTATTCACGCTCGTCGATTTTTATTAAATATTTTGGAGTGGTTATTTTATTATCACTCGGTGTTTCTTTGCGTCGCGTTAAGATACGCGTTGAAAATGTTTCTTCCAGTAGAGTACTCGAAGATTGTGGAGGAATCGGTAGCAGGTAAGTGCGTTGACTGTTGTATTTACTGCATGGGATATAATAGAAATGAAAACTTGGATACACACATAAGTACATAAAGCATAATATTTATAAATTATCATTCACTGTATTTTAAGACAATCGAGTTGTTGATTCTTATTTATTATTTTACATAAGTGAAAGTTTACTGTTTCGCTAGTGAAAGCAGCTGAATGTATGTACTCTTGGAAAGATTATTTCTAATCACATTGGCAGATTATAACGTTGAAGTTCATTTCATACGTTGAAACTAATTCCTCCGAAACGATAACGATTCTCTATTGTGAATTATAATTAACGAGGAAGCACAGGAAACTTAACTGACGCGTGCGAAAAATAATGACACTTTTCTCTCAAAAATTTACTTGACGTAACAGAAATTAAATTAGTGCAAGGAATTAACAAATAATTAAATAGAAATAATTAAATAATAATTAAATAATTTAAAAAATTAAATAATTAAATAATTAAAAATTTATTTAAAATTAAATTTGTCGAGCAATCAGATGAAAAATGTACATACGATTCCTTCATACCGTTAATATACCCTAAATAAAATCTCTGATAAATTTCGATCATCAAAGTTTACGCAAGGAGGCAACAGATTCATTGCTCAAACGAGAAAAACGATTAACGCGATCGAAGTTACGCGTACAACTGTAACAATATGCTACATTTCGGACAAGATACCCGTCTATGCGAGAACTTTTACGGCTGACCTACAACGGTACACTACTACTGCCATCTTACAATCCCTTTGCGCCCTTGGTAAAGCAAACCGTACGGAGCGCAATAACAATAGAGAGGAAGGAAGAGAGAGAGAGGGGGAGACAGAAGGACAGAGAGGAAGAGAGAGAGAGAGACAGAAGGACAGAGAGGAAGAGAGAGAGAGAGAGAGAGAGAGAGAAAGTGGTAATGGTCTGCAGCGAATCAGCCCTCGGAAATTCAGCGTCCCGTAATAACGTAATAATCTTTCGAAACTCCGTGACGTGTTGTAATGTCCCTTGAAATATTGGATACGCGCGAGTAATTTCCATCTGTAATGAAACCGATATGCAAATGAGATAACAAGTTCGATTGTCTACATTTCAACCCCGCAACGGCTCCGCTAATGTCCAGTTTGCAGAATGTCTCTAATAACGCGTGTCGTTGCTTTCCGCGATAATGAGAATGATAAGGCGCATTTAAACTTGCCCCCAAATATATGTGACGATCGTTTATGTGAAAATAAATGGCATTATTTTTGTAATTTGGACGTTGATTGTTTTGTTGTTATTAATTTTCTTCATATTTCTAAATAAGTCTGTATTTCGAATGTAGGAAATACAATTTATTTTCTCTTGTCGATTAAGTTGCGCGTTCTTTCCATAAAAAAGTAATATCGCAAGGATTTTTGCGAAGAGTAGGGTGATTTCAATTAATCGAAATAATTATTTGAAACGAGATGTTAACATGAGATGGAAACATAAAATCCCATGAAAATGCTTATTTCGTCTCTTAAATATTACAGCGAATAATTTGTTTCTCCAATTACGCATATTTCGTATCGATTAGCAATATTTAAACATCACCGTGGCCAAATTTGTTCAAATTTTATTTGAGGTGAATTTATATCAAAAACGCATCGAGACAAACTCGAAGCATTGCACCGAGATATTAATTTCTTAGTTACGAATGGATTCATTCAGCCTGACACGCATTAATTCTTTGCAAAACGTTCTTTCGTCCCGTCTATTTGCAATTGCCCCAGGTATTAATCAATTTAATTCACGCGAATTACTATAAACTGGCAAAAGATGTTCCAACGATTCTCGCTAAACTTTTTCCACCTTCTTGTTGCGTTCTCTGTTTGTTAACGATTCGTTCGCCATCATCTATGGTCCCGCTTCATCGTCGGGGCCGCAAAACGATAACGCAGCAGCCAGCGGATTCGGATTTTTATCAGAATTAATCAAAGAGGGAGGAGCGAAGAGAAGAAACGAATGGAAAGCAGCGGGGAAACAGCGACTCTCGAGCATCCATTCAACTTGTCCGCGAGACAAATTGATTATCCGCGCCATCGACGAAGCAAAAAGTCAATTACACCGGCGATTAATCGATCGAATGGTGACCCCGTGCTTACACCATCGAAACATGATAAACGTTCATAAACGCGCCCCATAAAACAGCTTGGAAATTCTTCTTTTTTCCTTTGTGCCACGTGTTCCCCTCGTCTGCCCTTCTTGCTTCTTTTTCCACTTCCCCCGCCCCCCCCCCTTCTTTTCGCCACGCCACTTCGACAATACCCTCGATCGATTTCTCTCGCCGGCCGAACGCGAGAGAGGAGACAAATGTGTCACGGTTCCTTGCTCGTGAACTTTTTTCCAGCGAAGACACGGGAAAGGTTACGGCAACATCGACGCTTTGCTTTTCTCTCTCTCCCTCTCTCTCTTCATTTCACGTTTCCGTTCCCTGTCTCGCTCCGCCGTTCTCTCGTGTCATTTTCTCTTTTTTCTTCTTTCCTCTTTCTTTCATCGCCGCCCGCTTTCACCGCGCGTCGCCCGTTTTCTTTTCAGATTTCTGTAAATCGCCGGATAACTCGCCGCACGAGTTGTTCGATTACCCGAAACCGTGCTCTCCGTTGGCTTTTTTCCTTCCAAATGGCGGTTGTTTCGCGATTTTCTCGGACGACGAGGACCTGTTAGCGGATAACGAAAAGTGGTTCGGAGAATTAATCGGCGCGGTAAGTAAGGACGAGAGTTGAAACGAGTTCTGAAGAAGTCCGCTCGAAGGGGAGTGCGAGATACAATTTTTTTTTTAAGGATAACGTAGCGAGATCTGAGACGATCGATTCGATGCTTGAGTTAAATAAAAACTGAAAACAATTTGAAATAATTTCTCTCTAGTTTTTAGCAATAAAGCGAACCTCTTCCTCGAACGTTCTCTTACTTGTTCCTTCTTCTTCGGGAAGAGAGAATTTTATTAGGAAGAATTATATTAAATTGTAGAAATAAAATATGTATAGGCAACAAAAGATAGGACTTACGCACCTGATGATTAAAAAAATATTATTATAAAATTGGGAGAAAGAGAA